AAAGAATTAAAAATAAAGAATATATCGAGCAACGTCAACAAGATAAAATTAATAAGCTTGTGAAAGTAGCAAAACATATTAGTAAAAAAGTTATGCAGTTCGATTCTAGTGACGAAGATACAAAAAAAAGGAGAACAAAAGTAAAGAATGGAACAGATAACCTGATGTTCCAAATATAGCTTCAGTACCCCTAGAATATATAATAATGAAATTACCTCTGCCTACATTTTGTGGCACTAAACGACAACAGCAAGTCTATAAATGAGATCAATCTCAATTTTTCTCGCTTAAGTTTGCGTTAATTATTATTTTATTTTTTCAATTTCTTTTCGTATTAACGTGATATGTTTTTATTTTTGAAATTAGTTTTATTGTGTATATGTTTTATTTTGTTTCGTTCAAGATTTATGGTATCCAGTTAATAATTTTTAAACCTTAAATAATACCTTAAACTTCTTAATATAAATACTAAGTACATGTTTTATAAGATATCACTACAAGTAATGTGTTACTTATCACTGATAGAAAATAAATAGAGATTGATAATTTTGTAATATTGTTGATTAAAAGTGTTCACATAATTCATAAATATTTTTATTTATATATTTTTTTACAATATTTATTGATTCGCTGTAACCCAACAGTAAAATGTATGATGATTTCATGTGTTGATTCACTGTGCCCCAATAAGATCCACTGTACCCCATGCGGAGATCCAATGTACCCCATATATGGGGTACAATGAATAATTTTCCTCTTTTTAAAATAACCTTTGCTTTCAGAAAACTATTAATATTATTGCTAAAATTGAACTAGATTTATATAGCCAACTTAACACCTCATTGCTCTACATATAAATATTGGTAATTTATACTTTATTTATATAGGTAAACTACATTTGAAAAAAAGTGATCCAGTGTACCCCCCTTTCCCCTATTGTTTAAATTTTAAGGTTTATTTGGTTAATATAATAAGTCGAATGTATTTTTATAGCGTACCAATCACTTACCCTGGCTTCGTTCGGGTGTATCTCTTGGTATCTAAAAGTAGCCTTTATATGTATAACTCCAGGTTACAACTTTTGCATTCATAAAAGTAGTGTAGTAATTAGCAAAAGAAAAAAATCAATTTATAGCTCTATCTTTAACAAGAATGAAATGCTATGCTTTTTCATTTATTTCATTAAGTATAAATAATATTCAAAATTCAAACCAACCTTTCCCTTAAAATTTAGACCTTAGCAATGATTAATTATATTGTTAGATTTTATTAGATTTGTTATTCCTACACGCAGCGACGGAGCAACAGATCAACAAGGTTTTTTGCATAGAGATAATTTATGGAGTGGAGAGCGACGTGGGTTATTTTTAAAGCCGCTACATCAAGTAGTTCCCATAATATTATTAGTATTACCTTACTGAAAATAAAAATAATAGTTATGGCCCAAACAAAGAAAATCTAAAGCTACTCTAAAGCACCAGACTTTTTGTTTGACCGAGTTTTTTTTTAATGTTAGTAGGTATACAATAAGTTACATACATACCGTCATAAACTAAGGCTGATCCCTCAAATTTACCATTTTATATAAACATCTAACTTATACTACAACTAGGTGAAATTGGGCGTGTCGCTAATCTATACATATAATAAAATTGTAACTAAGTCGAATCTGTACATTAAATATTTTTTAGAAAATCTTATTGAAATAGACTTTATTATGGATACAGAGACCGAATTTATAATTTTTAGAATTTTTGTCTGTCTGTCTGTTACCGCATCACGAGAAAACCACTAGAGGGATTTTGATGAAATTTGGTATGATGATAGCTGGTCATCCGGGTCAAAATATAGGATACTTTTTACCGCGGAAAAATATCTCATTTCTGAGAAAAAATACAAAAACTGCATTGTAAGAGTATACTAATATGTAAAACCTAAGAATTTGGTTCTTGGTCATCTGAACGCGGGCGGAGCCGCGGGAAATGCTAGTATGTAATAAAATAGTTTAGGCATGGTTGATCAGAAAAGCTAATCTATTTACATGTCCGTAGTTGAAAGGCAGCCAACTCGACGCATCTGTCCGCCCTAACGCGCTAACCATACGTATAATCTAGTTCTCATAACGCTCTATATGTAAATACTAGTTCTTCAAATGCAATTTTTTGACATCTATTTTATATAGATAGCCCTGCCCTGGCTTTAGTTTTGGCACCCATATTCATATTATTATATATTCTATAATTAGAAAAAATGTTCAGAATTTATTAATAATATAAATTAAATAAAACTATCTTTTCGGATTATTTCGCGGATTTATTTTGATTTTTGGTTCCCGACGTTTCGAATGCTTTAAAGCATCCATGGTCACGGGAGAGACTGAGGTGTTACATGTCTCGAAGGTATAGTTGTTACAGACAGCCTACCCACAATTAACAAAATGAAAATTGCACCAATTACATTACAATATTTTTTAACTTTAAACATTTTTATAATTTTAATTATAATTGAATATGGAAAATTATTTATTAAATGTTTGCTATTATTTTTATAATTATTACAATTTTAAAAATATTAATCAGTAATCTATATTTAGTGTTGCCATTATAATATTTATAACCATAAAGAAAAATATAAAATATAGTATTAATTATTTAAGCCATATAATTGTTCTATGTGTAATTTAAAAAAGTTAAATTTAATTAAGGATAATAATTTTAATTTAGTTTGCTATTATTTAAAAACAACTTACTAAGCAACACTATTAATATATACTTTTACAAATGAAAAATGAAAAATATATTAATCTGATAAGCTGTCGTTTTGATCTACAATTATATGGCTTAAATAATTAATACTATATTTTATATTTTTCTTCATGGTTATAAATATAATAATGGCAACACTAAATATAGATTACTAATTAATATTTTTAAAATTGTAATAATTATAAAAATAATAGCAAAAATTAAATAAATAATTTTCCATATTCAATTATAATTAAAATTATAAAAATGTTTAAAGTTAAAAAATATTGTAATGTAATTGGTGCAATTTTCATTTTGTTAATTGTGGGTAGGCTGTCTGTAACAACTATACCTTCAAGACATGTAACACCTCAGTCTCTCCCGTGACCATGGATGCTGTAAAGCATTCGAAACGTCGGGAACCAAAAATCAAAATAAATCCGCGAAATAATCCGAAAAGATAGTTTTATTTAATAATTTCAAACATTCGCGTAGATCTAAGAAAGTATTAAATAATATAAATATCTAAAAAAACTTTTTCTTATATGAATTTTAACACTTTTTAAATAAAAAGATATATTAACTTCAAAACCACTGCAATAGTCATTATTGCACCTATATTAAATATCTATACATACCTCTGCTACTTCGTTTCCAACCTCTACCAGTCATTTCGTGGTACTTTCACCCGCACAGCTGGAGGATGTTCCTGGGGTACATATTAATGGCTGCCAAATTATTTTGCTCGTTTATGCTAATGAACTGGTCACAGATTGCAGTAGAGTCCATGTTGTTAGAAAATGAGCAGAAATTCTGTGTGTGTATATCAAATTATATTTCTTTTACATCAAAAACGCGCTCGTTTGGGAAACCGAGTGTAGCGGGTTCAAATCCTGGGTGTCGGGATATATCACCTCTGATATTTACATGTGCGTATCATTTCCAACATGATGGCAACTTGTCTTACGGAAAAGGAAAACATCGTGAGGAAACCTGCATGTCTGAGAGAACCTAACAAGTTTTGGAAAGACATGTGAAGTCCGCCAACCCGTACTTGGCCAGCGTGGTGGACTATGGCCTTATCCCTTTCGTATTGAAGAGAGCAACTCGTGCCCAACAGTGGGATGTCAAAAAGGGCTGAATACAACATCAAAATATGTATAGTTTATTATAGTTTTATTCAATTCATCCGATTTTTCATATCAGTTTTAAATACATATTTGAATTTAATAAGCCTTACATTAGGATTAGGATTAGGTTTACTATTACCGAAATATAACTTTTCCATAATGTAAGGTATTTAAAAAAGGTACCTTCATAAAAAACCGACATCAATTTTAAAGTCTTTAACGCCATCTATTATTGAATGCTGGATCTTTCTTTTCGCGTTTTCGTTCCGCTACTTGATAATAGATGGCACTGCTATGCACTTTAATAGATTATAATTATATTGTAAATTGCTACCATTCATTTATTACTCCTATTTCCGTAACAATCGTATACGCCGGCCCATTGTAAGTTCAAAACATCATATTATTATTATTTGTTTTAAATTTTCTACATTCTATTTTTCTTAACATTTAATAAAGTATTGTTATTTAGTTATTTTTCCTGTTATACATATCTTCTTATTAAGATAACCTTTAAATGTATGTAATTTTTTTTTTAATTATATTATATACAGAACAAATGTACACTTATTACGTTCTCTTTATTGTAAATAAATATAAAGAAAAATCTATTATATTCGTTATGTTTTAAGTTTTTCATGTAAAATAAATTAGTTTGTATTAAATTTGGATGAAAAAAATGGATAATATACTACATAAATTATTTATTATTATATTACATTCACGTTTGTTTTGAACATCCCGCGTTAAATATAATAATTTAAGTACAAATTAAAATAAATCTCACTCTGAGATGTTATCTTCAGTAGGTACTTGAATATCATTCCCCATTCAACATATGATGTCAGATAATAATATTTGAATTTTATCTCCATTCTTTGTAATAGATTACGGTTTCTACAACAGATTGGATAACTGATATAAAAAATACCGTATTTTTTATATTTGCCGCCATTACATGTTCTACCCTAATTATGTAATTTATATTACAGACCAAAATACAGATGCAAATAACAAAGAAATTAATATTTTCACATATTAATTAAACCATTCGTAATTCATTATTTAATAGAATATTTTAGTTAAAACAAGATAAATATTGGGTGGTACTAAAAAAGTCACAGACATGTCATTGAAAAGAGTGCTGATTGTTAATAAAACGTTTCCCGCCGCAGGAATCGAAATGTTGAAACAAGAGTGAGTGTTCATATTTTTATACTTTATTAGCTTTTATTTTACTAGGTTGATTTCCCATACAAACTTTCATCCCCATTTTCATCCCCTTAAGGGATGATTACCGGGATAAATATCCTATGTCTTCCCAGGGTCTCAAACAATCTTCTTACCAAATTTCATCTAAATCAGTTCAGTAGATCCAGAGATTACCCCCTACAGCCTCACAAAATCACAAACTTTACCTCTTTATAATATTAGTACAGATAGATATAATTTTTACGAATTAGTTATGTGCGTACCTAAGATTATTTTTTAAAGATTAAAATTCTTTAGAAACTATTTCAAGTACCTACTTGGATGAAGTAACTTATAGTTTATAAATCATCATCATCGACTCATCCTCGCTTCGCTCGGGTTCGTCCCTGGCTTGCTACCCAATACAAACTTTCATCATTTCCGGGATAAAAAGTATTCTATGTCCTTGCTAGGCTCTCAAGCTATCTTCTTACTAAATTTCATCTAAATCGGTCCAGTAGATCCAGAGATTACCCCCTACAACTTCACAAACTCACAAACTTTACCTCTTTATAATATATGAAGTTATAGATATCTTTACTATTTACTTACTTTTTTGTACTTCCTCACAGTAGATAAAAAAATAGAATAAAATAATTTATTTACTTTATGCTGTAATTTCCAGGTTGGAACCCGTCGTTTTACCTGTTCTGGAATACGAGCCTGACTGTATAACAAAAATAAAAAACTCCATAACACAGGGATATGATGGCTTAATTTGGAACACGAAACATCGTTTAACGGGCGAAATATTGGATTTAGCAGGTTATAAATTATTTTTTTAAATTAATGTACTAATTTAACAACACATTAAACAAAAAATATTACAAAACATCCAAATCGATCCAGCCCTTTAGGAGGAGTAATGTGACGAACACACGTATAGAAGAATTATATACGATTATATTAAGATGTACTAAACGATATATCCCTAAGCGATACCATCAAAAGGGCTCTTGCCACCATTGACATTCCTGCTCTTAATTATTCTGCCTTATTACAAAAAGCGGTTTAACTAAAAAACCTGGTTTAAACTTCTTTATACTGCGGTCTAAACAAATTTGAGTCATCTGGAATAAGTCGAGATGATGGTAAGAGACCTGATGGCCTGTCGCTGGTTCCTTGGGAAAGGGGACGGGCCCTATTGTGGGACGCTACATGCGTTGACACATTGGCCCCGTACCATGTCAGGGAGACCGCGTCTAAAGTGGGAGCTGCGGCGGAGAAGGCTGAACTACTTAAGTTGCGTAAATACACCTCCCTTAGTCAAAATTATGTTTTTATTCCATTTGCTGTAGAAACCCTTGGCTCATGGAGTCAAAGTGCTAAGCTCTTCTTAAAAGACATAACACCCCGTCTTATCGCCTCTACTGGTGACAGGAGGGCTGGCGCATTTTTCGCCCAAAGAATCGGCATTGCCATTCAACGGGGGACTGCCGCTAGTCTTCTTGCCACTATTCCACGCGGACATGACTTGTACTGTAATAACTAAGTGTACATATGTTTTGTATATATAATTAAGTATAAGATGTACTATTAGGAAGTACTACTAGGCCTTTGCGTCTATTCCAGACGATTTATGGTGCAATGTTGGAGATAACACCTCTTTTGGTGGCTGTATAGACCGATGCGAGAGCTACATGTCCTACCGCAGACCTGACAGGAGAAGTTTGCGACGGATGGTACTGAGTCGCCTTGACGTCGTCTTTGTCTCTTGTCAGCAAGTGCCGCGAACCCGGTCTCATCGCAGAACTTGCGACCCTCCATAATACTTTTGCGCCACTCCGTTCGATTTTCTGCAAGTCTTTCCCAGTTTCGGTGGTCAATTTTAAAAGTAAACATGTCTCTCTTGGCGCAGTCTTTAAAGCGAAGCAGTGGCCTCCCTACGTTTCTTTTTGCGTTCGCAATCGCACCAAGAAGTACATGTCGTGGTAATCGAGACTGTTCCATTCTGTGCACATGCCCGAGCCAGCGCAAACGTCTCTGTTTTAGAAGCGCGGTCAAACTAGGTAGTTGTGCAATTTCTAGAACTCTCTCGTTTGTCACCCTGTCTTGCCATGAGATGTCCAAGATTATACGAAGGCAACGCATGTAAAAAGAGTTTATTCGACGTTCGACCTTTGCATACGTTGTCCAGGTTTCAGCTCCGTACAAGAGTATGCTTATAATGGAGGCTTGAAAGACTAACACTTTGGTCTTGGTGGTTAGATATTTGTTTTGCCATACTCTAGTACTAAGCTTCCCGAACATGGTCGCTGCTTTACCGATGCGAATGTCAACATCTGCATCCAGCGACAGATTGTTCGTTACGGTTGACCCTAGGTAACAAAATCTGTCATCTACCTCTAGCAGCGTACCATTGAGCGAAATTGCTGGGGCCTTAGAAGTGCCTTGTGCTAACACAACTGTCTTCTTTGCGTTTATGGACATGGCGAACAGGGAACAAGCCCGTGAAAATTGATTCACCATATACTGGAGCTCACGTTCGGAATTAGCAACGAAAGCCGCGTCATCGGCATAAAGAAGGCTATCGATGAAAAGATCCTCGCGGCTTCTTTTGGATTTGAGTAGTAAGATGTTAAGCATCCTTCCATCGGTTCTTGTATGTAGATGTATACCCTGTTGATTTTCGTCAAAAGCGGTGTGCAATATGAGCGAAAAATATATACCAAACAGGGTAGGAGCCAAGACGCAGCCCTTTTTTTTTTTTTTTTTGTCGGGAAATGCATTTACGCATGCCACCTGATAAACCCCCCCTCCCCCCCCAGGTGGTTATGTGGGGCTCACCGGCTAGAAGAGCCGGTACTACCCACTAAAACCCGACATTCCCCTCCCCTCCGCCTTAATGGGACGCCGCAGGATCGCTTGCGCATAACTACTACGGCGCCCCGGCGGCAGGTCTGCCGATGGCTGACCACCATACCGATGGGGCTGCTCCACAGTCAACTCTGCTACACCAGAGAGGTACCCGGAGCAGCCCCATCAAATCCAACCTCCGCCCACCGAAGTGGGCCACCTCCAATCGGCTGCAGAGGACAGGGAGAGCGGCAACGACACACCGACACTCCTCTTCCTCTGCAGCCCCACCGCGTCCACCATCTAACGGTGGTGGCCCCGCTAGGCCGCGGGAGATAGGGACGAGCGGCGCATCGCCATACCGACACTCCTCTTCCCCCGCGGCCCCCCTACCGTCGGCCCACCTCCGGACCAAGATGGCTGCCGACAACCACGCCAGACGCAGGACCACCGAAATGGCCCCGCTCCAGCCGCCGCACCGACGGGCTAGCCCCGGCAGCACGGCCCGCGCAGCGCCTCCTACCGCAAAACGGCCGGAGACACCGCGCTACCTCCAAGGAGGAGACGGCGCCCTCCCGACACCGCTCCCCCTGCCCCTCCTGGCTGTTGGTCCGCGCCGGATTGCTCCGGTACCACAAGCTCCTGTCTGGGGGAACAGTCGCGAGTGGCCTTCCCCTATCCGCCACCCGGGGGACGCGTCCGGTAGCAGTCAGCCTCTGCCCCGCCCTGTCGAACACCTCTGGAAACATCAAACGGCTTAGATGTTTTACCGCTTAAAACTACTGTGCCCTTCATGTCTTCATGAAAAGATGCAACCAGTCCCAGGAGTTTAGGCGGGCACCCAATACTCTCAAGCGCCGTGTACAAGCCCTTTCTGCTGACCGTATCGAAGGCCTTATTAAGGTCAACGAAAGCTACTACTAAGGGACAGTTTTGTTCTCGACACTTCTCCTGTATTTGGCGAAGTGTGAAAATCATATCCACTGTCGAACGGTTGGAGCGGAAACCACATTGTGGCTCAGGATAGATACGTTCAGCAAGCTTTTGGAGTCTTGATAGAACGACTAGACCAAAAAGCTTGCCAACTATGCTCAAAAGAGAGATTCCGCGAAAATTGTTACAGTCGCCGCGATCACCTTTCCCTTTGTATAATGTGATGATGTTAGCGTCCCGCATATCCTGAGGCACATGCTCCGCTTCCCAACATTTGCACAATAGATTATGCAGGATTGGTTTCACACATTCGAGCTTTAATATTTCAGCATGGATGCCGTCGCCGCCGGGACTCTTACCGCGCTTAAGCCGATTCACAGCCTTGGTGAAATCCTCTACAGACGGTAGATCATCTAACTCATTCAATACACCCAGTTTTGGTATGCTCTGTGTCGCCTCCGGATGTATGATTACTGGACTTGAGTAGAGATTGGTATAGTGCTCGACCCAACGATCAAGCTGTTTTTGGCTGTCAACAATGACAGTGCCATTTGCGTCCTTTAGAGGGGCTATCTTTTTTGAAACAGGTCCGAGAACGCGTTTAATACTCTCATATACTTCACCTATGTTTCCACTGTCCGCACACATCTGTATATTGCGACCAAGATCCGACCAGTATAAGTTGGCAAAGTATCGTGTACTTCGTTGAAAAGAAGTTTTAGCTGTTCGAAGTGCTTTATCAGTTACTGGACAGGGATTCATACGGCGCCTAAGTGCGGCATTCCGCTTTGAGTCTAAAAGAGGTTGTAGGTACTCAACGTTGTCCTCGAACCAGTCTTGAGACTTGGTCCTCACACATCCGAAAACCTCAGTGGCGCTATTAGTCAGTAGTTTTTTTTCTTTATTCCACTCGACGCCTATCGGTGTATTGGCATCCCAATCAGCAAGTTCTTTATTTGCCAAGCACTCAAACTGTCGGACTTTTTCATCATCCCGGGTATTAGAAAGATTTATCTTCCTCCTACCCGGCGTTTTAGATGAATGTACCCTTTTATGAGCTATGGCAACTTGTGCTGCTACTAGAGAGTGGTCGGTGTCACAGTCGGCGCTATGGAATGTACGAGTGTGAAGAAAATCGCGGAGGTTTTTGGATCTCGTTAGTATCACGTATAAAATATTAGGAATAATGTAATATTAGGAAGTATTTTTATTGTTATCCAGGACCTCGGCTTAAAGCTGTAACTACGACTGCATCAGGTATAGATCACATAGACACGGTCGAACTGAAGAAACGCGGTCTGGTTCTGGGGAACACCCTGCAGGTGTTGGACAATGCTGTGGCCGACATCGCGGTAGGACTCCTGATCTGTGCCGCGAGAAGATATAAAGAAGGAGTTCGGGAGTTAGAATCGTAAGTTAAGACACAAATTCTTTGATCCACACTATACTTCACATTCTTTAAATATCACCTAACGATAAAAACGATTAATTAAAGTAATCCGTAGTACATTTATAATATTTATATTATACAGATGTGAAAGTTTATGAGTATGGATGTTTGTTAACTCTTTCACGCCAGAACGACTGAACGGATCTGGATCAAATTTGGTACAGAGATAGATTATAGTCTGGAATAACACAGAGGGTATTTTTTACCCCGGATAAATGTACGGATCCCGTGGGATAGGTAGGTGTATTCGTAGAGGTGAACCCGAGCTAAGCGAGGGTGAGCTGCTAGTTAAAAAATAAATAATAAATATAAATGTTTTTAAGCAATTACAAAAATACCTACATTTTTGTTATTAATCGATCAATCGCTCTTGCCCTATAACCATACTTTTATGCTTTACAATATTTCGTCACTTTAAATATAATTATTTCGACGTTAGTGAAATCAATATTCAATTAGCAAAGCTGCCTCCATATACGAAAAAAACCTACAGCACATTACAATAAATTCCGCTTTTCGAAGTCGGTTAATGTATTTAATATTTTTAGGGGCGAATGGAAATATGGTGTGCAATGGAGGCTCGGGCAGGACATTGCGCACAGCACGGTGGGCGTGGTGGGGCTCGGCGGGATTGGACAGGCGATCATTAAGAGATTAAAAGGCTTTGACGTTGCCAAGTTTATTTACAGCGGACGTACTGATAAACCTGAAGGTATTCTTATTAAATTCAATATTCATGATATAATAATAATGCTTTAGAAACCCTTGGCCCATGGGGTCAAAGTGCTAAATACTTCTTAAAAGACATAACACCTCGTCTCGTCGCCTCATAGAGCTCGCTCATTTTTCGCCCAAACTCCAAAGAATCGGCATTGCCATTCAACGGGGGAATGCGGCTAGCATTCTTGCCACTATTCCACACGGACATAACTTGTACAGTAATAATTAATTGTACATTTTGTTTTGAATATATATGTAATTTTCTTTATTGTAAATAATGCTTATTGCTTACTTACTTTAATGTTCAAAATAGAAACCTAATAATATAATCATTAAGATTTTGTGTAAAATATAAATCATTATATCGTATATTTCATTTATAGCAAAATCTTTGGGCGCAGAACGAGTACCACTAGAGACATTACTAAAAGAAAGTGATTTCGTCATCCTCTGTTGTCCTTTAACAAAAGATACCAAACATTTAATCAATAATGAAACTCTGAAAATGATGAAGAAAACGTCCGTCCTCGTTAACATTGGGAGAGGAGGTACAATTTTTTTTTAAGCCAAATGTTATATGTAAACTTTTTTATCATGACATGTTATTATATAATTATTATTTATTTAATTATTTATTTCATAACAATCCTAATAATATTATAAATGCGAAAGTTGTGAGGATGTATGGATGTCTAGATATATAGATGTATGGAGGTTTGTTACTCTTTCACGTAAAAACTACTGAATGGATTTTAATGAAACTTTACAATAATATAGATCATACATCAGAATAACACATAGGCTCTTTTTATCCCGGAAAAATGTACGGTTCCCGTGGGATAGATTTATTTCTGTTTTTAGGGTGAGCCGCTAGTTTAATATAATAGTAATTATTTTCCAGACTTAATAGACCAACGTGCACTTTACAACGCTCTAAAAGAAGGTCAAATATTCTCAGCTGGCCTCGACGTCACTACGCCGGAACCAATCTCTAAAGATGATCCTATTGTAGACTTGCCTAATTGTTGTAAGTATGTTTCATATTTTATATTCCAAATATAATGTCCACAATATCCGCCATAGCTGTTATTAAAACTAAGGACGAAATAAAAATGTTTAACGGTTATTCTTAAAGGAGAAGGTTAAACTTCGGTTTTGATACTGAAAATCGATTTCGATTTTTACTTTAATAATTAACCGCTATATTTATACTGTTTAATTCATTCATAAGTAATAAGCGTACATGTATCCTTCTACTACGCAATTCACTATTAGCAAAAAATCGGCAAATGTAAACACACAAAAACTCATTTAAACGGTTAATTTCGATCATGGAACCAAAATTCATCAAAAACCGTTCTCCGGGTTTTAACTGATTAAAGAACGTAACCGAAACCTTAAACCGAAAAGCCTTTGGGTTTGGATTCAATGACCAAAACCGGTTTAAAAAGTGAACGGGTTTCCGAGCCCTGGGTAGTAGGTACTTACCTGATAATAACAGTAACAGACAACAGTTACTTTTTTCGTCTGTGCACACTCTTCTGTACTTTATCGAAATTAGTTCTGTAATCAGTATGGAATCTGTCCATTAAAAAAATAACTGGTATTATATAGTGAACAAAATATTGCTGCCGAAACGGATATTGTATATAAGGTTAAAAAAAATACATTTATTTTTACTCTTTTCAGATATAATACCACATTTGGGCAGCGCTACATACCAAACAAGAAACGCCATGGCGAGATTATCCGCTGAAAACATTTTACTGGCTTTAAATGGAAAACGTATGAAATGCCCGATCGACTTATAGATGAATGAATTATTGTAGTTTATCTAATAAAATAATATATGATATATTGTATTATAATATTAATTCATGAACGAATTAACCACTAATTCGTTCATGTATTAATTATTACTTATGTCGTATATATTGTGTATATTGTGAAAAAATGAAATAAAATTCATTTATTTTAACCTAATATTTTATTACAAACAATATTAAATTTACATATTCAGAAATATATTGTGTATAATATTATTATAGTAGTGTATTATAGTTAATTAGTACACCTTTGGTAGGTGGCTACATGTGCTCAATCAATATAAACACTAAATTTGAATTATTTAAGTGGCTATGTAAAATAATTTGAAATACTTACTAAATATTATACACAAAACTGGCGACTCAACCCTCGCTTCCGGTTACTTCCCCATACAAACTTTCATCCCCATTTTCACCCCTTAAAAGATGATTTCTGGGATAAAAATAAGTTACTTCCAAGGGTCTCAAACTCTTACCAAATTTCATCTAAATCGGTTCAGTAGTTTCGGAGCTTAGTCGGTACAAGCAAACAAACAATAAATCTTTCGTCTTAATAATATTAGCATAGATAACAAGTAATTAAGTATTAGTTATGTAAATAACTTTTTTTAAAACACTAGAAAAGTAGAATCTTGAAAACCCCGCTAAAAAGACTCCAAATACAGATAATTAATATTTAAATATGCGTGACCTATAGATAAAATCACCGATTTGTCTGAGTGTAAAAATATGATAAAATAAAGTTTATAAAAATATTTACAATAGTAAAGAATTGCTAATGGTATTTTTGTGGTTTATTATATATTATATAATAAAAACAAATATAAATATTAGGCAGAATGGAATTTATCTTTTTAAAATACCTAAAAAAAATATACGTTACGTTCACTTCCAGACTACGGCCACCGCTTATTTCATTATTAGGACCATAGAGTATATTGCTACATATAATTAGGACTTATCATTGCAGTCCGAGCGGCCTTGACAGTTTTGTTACTACTGTCTCCATGTTACTCGTTTTATATTTACTTATCTGATAATATAAGATATAACTTCTGATTGTAACAGATAAAACGTGACATAATCATAAACAATGCTTCTTTTCCTTTTATTTGTGGTAGTTGCTAGTGTGTTTTTGCCGACGACCCACGCTTCACCGACAAACATGACTAAAAATCTTAAAGTACTCGTCTCATCTAATGATTTTCCTGAGAGCGGATTAAATGTTCTTCGGGAGCAGTAAGTATTTTTAATACAACTGTTTAATACATATAGAAATGTTTGTCAATTTTTATGTCGACATTTCATACAGTAATATATCGCAACCGCAACAGTTCAAGGATAAATTCTCGCGGAAAAAAATGATAAAAAAGAACATATTTGAACGCGGTGATCTGTATCACATAGTTGTTACATATCAATTGTGCCCATTTATACAATATTAAATTTTATTCATTTAGTTTTGCATACCTGAATAAATGGCTGACTGTATCTAATGTAATAAGTATAATAGCTAACATTACCTACGATGCGGAAATTATATCTCTGCTATTTTAGGAATTAACGGAAGTATTATAGAGTACCTATTATTTACTTTATTGCTTGTAGATACTTCAATCAATAGAAATTATATTGGAAAAATTTTCATCCATATCCGTCCAGCCGTTGAGGTAAGGAGTTAATAAACATACACAAAAACGTGCAAATCTTCGCATAATGTGACTACTATTAAGTAGTCTATACAAAAGATAAAATCGTCACATTTTAGCCTATGTGTCGGCCCAAATTACTTATGCGATTTACGGGTCAATCAGTTCCCGCCGAAAAGGTTTTCCAGTAAGGAAAATCGAATTTTAAATTCGAATACAAAATATTTAAAAAAAAAAACTAAATCAACAAACAAAAGGCTAAAAAATAACAACAGTTTTAATTTATAAATTCAGATATTTTTGGAGTCGGTGCCATCCAAAGTTCGCTTTACGCTTTATCGTAACCTGACAAGACCCTAGAAACTTTTTTGATGTATATTGATTGAAAAATAATTATAATTATGTCACAAATTTCAAAGATATCGTGTATATATTTTACAAACAAATAAATGCAGCCGAATTGAGTGCTCCTTTTTGAAGTTGGTCAAAAATCGTTATCCTATGTACCAACATTGAAGTCTAGTATTTGTGGACGTTTGTCGTAGTTAAATTTAAAATGTTACTTCTCAGTCACATTTGAATTAAAAATTAAAAAAAAATATCTTTATAAATATTTGAATAGCACTAAAGAATTTAGAATTTTTGTCAGTTGCGTTCCCAACGCATCACGAGAAAACCACTGGACAGATTTTGATAAAATTTGGTATCTGGTTATCCGGGTCAACATATAGGATACTTTTTACTGCGGTAAAAATTCTCATCTATAAGAAATCTATACCAGACGTTAACACGTACGTATGGACGAACCCGAGGGGAGGGCGGATGTAGCGCCAGCGTGTATATAGGTACATATACCTACTTATAACTTTTTTGGATCGAAAAATTGACTGCCATTAATGCAATAATAAAAAAAATGTACACAGCCTGAATTAATTATTTTTATTCCTAAGATTTAAATTGCTCGTTCTCTTTTTGGAGCCTTTTAGCCCTAGATTTTTTATAAAGTTTCCATTAGTGTGGCTCTTAATGTGATACAGTTCTAAATGACATGCTACGCAACGTGAACGTGCTGAGTGCATTGTAACTTATTGGAATTATCTTGCAATTAGTATTGTAATATCATTGTTTTTCAGTTTCAAGTACCTTAAGCGGCTAGTTTTTCTTATAGAACTATGTATGTATGTATATAGCCAAATAACACATAACATTGTTCTTAGTAGGTATTTAAAATAATAGGTATTATAAGAACTAAAAAATACTAAATATAGAATGTGTTTAAATAAATAATATTTAAACCGTTTAAAAAATTCTTTGAACCCGTTACACTCATAAAATCATCAATAATTTGTTTTGCTGGTCGAACGAACTAAATATGTACGGATCTGGAAAATCTTAATCTAATCCACTATCTAGCAACTATAATATATAAATAGGTAAAAATATTAAGTTTACATAATTTCTCCAGTTTCACAGTACTCCAAAGCAAGTATTTACATTTTGGTGAAGAAGGCATAAAAGAAAACAAAGAAGAACTTCTTAAGCTCATACCTGGAGTGTCTGCGTTGGTGTGGGTGTCGCATCATCCCATCACTAAAGAACTACTAGATAAAGCTGGTAAGTACCATTAGGATTTTGCTGCAGGTTCGATCGGTAAGGAAACTAGCGACTCACCCTCGCTTCGCTAGAGTTCGTCCCTATATTAAGGGTTAGTATAAATTTCTCAGAGATAAGATATTTTCCCGCAATAAAAAATATCTTTGATTTATATAAAACCTATCTACTGCTTTCTAGAAATCAACCACTTCATGTAACGCGCTAGTGACACCTCATTCATTTTTGATAAACTCAGTGATAAAAAATCTGCCACATTGATAATACAGATGAATATTTTAAACATTAAACAACAAGATTTACTTGCCCAATAAGAACAGAGTTTAGTGTTTATATAAGTATTAAAAATGTATAATTTTTATTTTAATTAAAATACATTCAAACAAGGTATGCAATTTACAAAAGAAACCTACCTTGACATAATTGTTTATACTTTACTAAGTTTGATTGTGGAACATATTATTATGGATCATATTATTATAAGTACTTATAGTACTTAGTTATAAAACTTGTAACTAAGCCGAATCTGTATATTAAATATTTTTTGGAAAATCTTATTGAAACAGACATTATTATAGATACAGAGGCCGAATCTATAGTTTTTAGAATTTTTGTCTGTCTGTCAGTCTGTCTGTCTGTCTGTTACTGCATCACGGAAAAGGTATTTTGATGAAATTTGGTATGATGGTAGCTGGTTATCTGGGTCAATATATAGGATACTTTTTACTGCGGGAAAATATGTAATCTCTGAGAAATCTATGTTAAACGTTATAAACGTAACTAGGAACGAACCCCAGCGGAGCGAGGGTGAGTTGCTAGTGTTATTATAAATATTATCTTCAAAAGAAGAAAGCATGGCAACATAACTCTATTATCAGCTTTCACCCTTTCGCCTTGGTAATAATGTCGATATTCTATCTATATATATAAAAGAAAGTCGTGTTAGTTACCTAGTTAAATACTAAATATAATATGTTTTAAATAGCGAATTACCCTCACTTCGCTCTGGGGCATCCCTAGGTATATTTTCAATTTTTAAGTACATAAAAATACTTGCGAGTGTACCATAGGCTGACAAGTGTAGCCAGCGTTAGCCATGTTTTCTAAGGACGACTCGACAAAACCTGTTATTGTGTTTTTCCGTGGAAATGAAAGATTTATCACTACAAAAAAATTGTTAAAATCAGTTCAGTATTTTTTGCGTAAAAAGTAAACAGATATACAGACAAACAGACGAAAACTTAAAAACTATTGTTTTAGGATCTTTATTCTTTATACATTACGTAACAGTCATTGTTTTTAAAAAATATTTCATGTACAGACTTCGCTTAATTTTTTACTATTTCATTTTATGTATAGATATATAGATAACATCATAATTTTATAGGTCCTCAATTAAAAATCGTGAGCACAGCATCGGCAGGCTACAACCACTGTAACCTGCCAGAACTCAAGGCGCGAGGGATAAAACTCGCTAACACTCCTAACGTACTGAGCGCAGCGGTCGCGGAGATCGCAGTGGGCCTCATCCTGGGGGCCGCTAGACGTTTTACTGAGAACTTGGATCAAGTTCGTAGGTTAGTATTTAAAATTTATATTATATCTAAAGTAAATGTCTTACAAATATCGTTTCTAATTTATAGTATTATGCACAGATAGCATTCTATTTATTGTTTGTATTTTATATTCAAATTAATTTAAACAATATTATGTTATATGCGACAGTGTTTCTTAACAATCAATGGATCTCTTGTTTTTTTTTTAAATATATGAGCTGAAGAGTGACATGTAGGTACCTACTATTTCGGAATCATAGAGCTTATTAAAAATATACTCAACGAAAGGTGAACGGGTAAGTAGACCTTACTAATATGATAAATATGACATTGTGTTGGTTTGTCCTTCCTTCACAACACAACAGAACAACTGATCGGCATAATTTTATATGTTGATCGTTTGATTAACTCTTATGTAGTTAAGATCAGATTGCCCTCTTTTATGCGTTAACAACTATTTCTATATATTTTTATGAAAATTGTAATAATGGAATTTCTATCTAACAACAATTAATTTAGGACAATACTTTCTTAGATTTACGCGAATATTTAACATTTTAAATAAAACTATCTTTTCGGATTTTTTCGCGAATTTATTTCCATGATTGCTGTAAAACGAAACGTCGGGAACCAAAAATCAAAATAAATTCGCGAAAAAATAGTTTTATTTAAAATAATTTAGGAGTTTACAAATAATTTAGATGTTCATTTAAACGTGCTATTCACTTACATGTTATGGTATGTTTACAGGGGCGAATGGGAAATAGGATTCTCCAAAGTACTAGGACAAGATGTCCGCGGCAGTACCGTAGGTGTTATAGGCTTCGGTGGTATCGGGCAAGCCACTGTCAAACGGCTGTCCGGCTTCGAGGTCGACAAATTCCTTTACACTGGACACAGGGAGAAACCGGAGGGTAAGAAAAAGTTTTTTTTTAAAGTAGGCACTATTATCGATGCAAATTCAGTATTTTTATATAGATAAGCCTGAAAAATTTAAAGTATAATTTATAAATTTGACTTTGGATCGCCTTCAAAGTATAGAAAATCTGTACAAAAGAAAAATAATCGTAAAAATTGATTACTTAAATATTGCCTATTATAACGAAATATTTTCTGTAATTTAATTAAAAGGGCAAATGGATATGTAAATAAATAAAAAAAAAGAATATTTACAAAGTTTTTTTCATTATAAAAACAAAGTCTAATAATTATTATATAATTTAAAAATAATTTAAAACATTTCAGCTAAAGCTCTTAATGCTGAATTCACTTCTCTCGACAACCTGTTGCAAAGCAGTGACTTCATATTGCTGGCCGTGCCGCTCACCGACGAGACCAGGCACATGATCAACGCGACCACACTCGGCAAAATGAAGAAGAACGCTATACTTATTAACGTTGGTCGTGGAGGTAGGAAAAGGAATATTTATTTGTATATTATTTACTTACTGTAATCATAAATAAATAAATCATTAATTTATGTCATAATATATGTAATCTTAAATAAATAAATAAAAAAAAATATTTTTTCACGCTGCAGCGGTTCTATGGATTTTAGTGCAATTCGGAATGGGGGGGTGGCTATAGAACCAAAAAGAAGAGCGAATCTTACAATTGCGAAAAAAAAGTAGTTTGTTTATTGTTTACTTAATATAAAGTTTTAATGACTAAACTTGACGAAAAGGGCCCGTTAATAATTTGGACATAATATGATGGAATAAAAAAAATTTAAAACCAATTTTTCACTACTAACTAAATACAGCTGTATTCGAAGCTTACTTTTTTACAAGTTGGCTAAAATTTATTGGTTGGCTAAAAAAAAACACATTTTTTTGTACCTAAAAAAGTAGTTATATTTTTTATTTCTGTAAATAACAGATTTAGTAGACCAAGACGCTTTATACGAAGCGTTGAAGAAAAAGGACATCTACGCAGCCGGCCTCGACGTCACCTCGCCCGAGCCTCTTCCCAAAGACCATAAACTGTTGACTCTCCCTAATTTATGTATGTTATTTAATTTATTAATTAGTATATAATACCTTACTTTTTATTAAAAATCAATAAATGTAAGTGAGCTAGGGAAATAAATAACCAATTATTTATTTTCACTGGAATTCCAACAGAGTACAGGCCCATTCAATGCAATATCTATACAGATAAATAAAATTGAAATGTCTGTATGTAATGTCAAAATAACAGCGTTTTACTAAATGCATATGAAATTATATACGGTACTTATAAGAAAAGCACATTTTTTTAATTTTTTGTCTGTGTGTTCTGGATAATCTCTGAAACAGCTGGACTAATTTTGATGGGACTTTCACTGGAAGATAGTTGATGTTATAGGAAGTAACATAGGCTACTTTAATTTTAGAAAAAGAATTAGGGATCCGCTCAAAAAAATAAAACTTACCTAGGGACGAATCCGAGCAAAGCGAGGGTAAGTGGCTAGTAAAGATATAAATTTTCACCTTTTTTTTCTAATCCATAATTGGTACGATACTACGTACACAAAAACTAATACAAATTTTTTACTTAAAAGTAAAATGATAATATTATCCTCATTTCTTAGTTTTTCTATTCAATAGTTCGCTAATATATAAAAAACTATAAATAATAAACACTTCCAGTCGTGCTCCCGCACATCGGCAGCGCCACAGTGCGCACGCGCAGCGACATGGCGGTGCTGGCCGCCAACAACGTCGTCAACGCACTCACCGGCAAGCCTTTGATCACGCCTGTATCGTTCTAATAAATATATCACAATACTAACGTCTTTTTATTATCTATACATATAATAAACTTGTTACTGAGCCGAATCTGTACATTAAATATTTTTTGGAAAATCTTATTGAAACAAACATTATTATCGATAGAGGCCGAGTCTATAGTAAGTATTTAGAATTTTGTCTGTCTGTCTGTTACCGCATAACAGAAAAACCACATTTTGATGAAATTTGGTATTATTAAATAAAACTATCTTTTCGGATTATTTCGCGGATTTATTTTGATTTTTGGTTCCCGACGTTTCGAATGCTTTACAGCATCCATGGTCACGGGAGAGACTGAGGTGTTACATGTCTTAAAGATATAGTTGTTACAGACAGCCTACCCACAATTAACAACATGAAAATTGCACCAATTACATTACAATATTTTTAACTTTAAAGATTTTTAAAATTTTAATTATAATTGAATATGGAAAATTATTTATTTAATTTTTGCTTTTATTTTTATAATTATTACAATTTTAAAAATATTAATTAGAAATCTATATTTAGTGTTGCTATTATTATATTTATAACCATAAATAAAAATATAAAAATATAGTATTAATTATTAAAGCCATATAATTGTTCTATGTGTAATTTAAAAAAGTTAAAATTAATTAAGGATAATCATTTTAATTTAGTTTGCTATTATTTAAAAACAACTTACTAAGCAACACTATTCATATATACTTAGTATATGCAATTATGCTTGAGTACTTATAATACTTGTTAAATGGCATTAGTAAGAGCTAATTTAAAAAAAAGATTTCATACTGTAGATATTTTACACTAATTAATGTAAAACTATATACATTTTATTTACAAACTGAAAATAATATATTGTTTTATGTACAAAGAAAATATAATATAATATTTATTAAAAATAAAGGCACTGACATAATACATATAATTTTGAATAACTCTGTCTGTCTGTACAGCAGGTTCTTCAATTGGTTCAAAGTAAAGTTTTCCATGGATATAATTTCTTTATACTTTAAGCTGTCAAGGAATAACTTAAATCATAATATTGTAATAGGTACTCAATATTAACAAACTGAAAATTAACACACATCAAAAGGTTAAAATGAAAATGGCAATAAATAATAATAAAATTTATACTCATGGAGCTTCGGCCACAATTGTTTCCAAATCTTTAAGGAAAGGTTCTATAAGGCTTTCCAAAGATAAAATGTGACCAGTGTTACAATTATCACTACCAATAAAAGTAATCACTAAAGGGAGTTTATTCATTTGTATAACCTGAAATAAGAATGGAATTCCTGTAAAGTAGTGTAATATAAACTAGAGACCCAGCTAAAAGATTGCAGTCATATACAATGGTTATATCAACATATTTTTTCTCATTATATAAGTCGCAATTTAACTAAAAATATTGTTTTGATACTAACCTGGTAACTTGAATACATGGATATAATTGTCTTATTCCTTCCAAGTCCAAGTTTACTTGCTTGATCTGTAGCCATTCCAAATGTTGATATAAAATTAGGTCTTAAAGCTAGTTGTGGAGCCTTTTCTGTAACTGACCTCACTACAGGAACTCCATCTCGATCAGTAATTAATATACAATGAAGTCCGTTTACTCTAAAGGGAAATAAATGTATGTTTATAAGTATTTGATGTACCTACGTCAAATTGTTATTAGATACTAATAGAATATTTGTCTCACTTTTCAAGTAAATGGTTTAAATATTTTCTTAAATCGTCAACCATAGTCATCTTATTTAATATTTAATGGGAATCTTTTTGCAAGTTTTAGAATCAAGATATAACGCACAAAATATTCAAAGACGAACACAACAAATTAAAATTGAAATACGAAGAATGACTTATGACACATTGACTTGACACTGACAGTTATTGACAACACAACTGACAGACACCAAAGACAACGTATTAAACGATAACAGATTACAGAACAGTAGTGAGTGAATGGGGAAAATATATGCATTTTTCTCCCACCAGACGTCGCGATCATTATGATCCTCAGTATATCACTATAGCGGGGATGGTTATTTTTTTCATTTTATTTAAAATTTAATGGAAAAGATTTCTTGAAATGAGGGTGCTACATATATGATCTATTCAGTCTGAGGTTGACCCCAGATTAAATGTAAATAGATCATACATACCCTCCTTTCAAGAAATCTTCATTCTTCCCCATTGAACTGTAGCAAGCATATTATTATTTTTCAATCCTTATTTATACATAAATATAAAATAACCATAATACATAAATAAGTATACGTAAATTGATACCCTATTTGAATATTTGTAACCTTTTATATCTTGAAAACATTAAACAATGGCAAATGACAATTTAAAAAAGTTTATATTGTCTACAGCCAAAATGGAAGGATCGAATTGACAAGTTTGTGATTTTCGTAATTTTATTTTTGGATTCACAAATGTTGTATGCGTTTTTACTTTCCAAAAGTATTACCTCGAAAGGTATAAAAGTGTACTCTTTATTATAAATCAAAAATACAGTGAAACACCGATTATTTCAGTGTAGCAATTTGTCGAAAAATAGCCTGGTATAATGATAACAAAAGATATAAAAATTCAGCCTTGTTTTGTGCTCTTTTTCGTCACATGTGTATTGTAGAGATTAGCGAATCATGAATATTCATTGTCGTGAAAGTTTAGTGATGTATACGTAACTATACGAAAAAGAAATTTTAAGGTTTGTGACGTCACTAGAGCGAAAAGACAATAAAATTTTGGTGTTCATATATGATGTTTGTTGCTCTTTTTCGGTGAACAAAAGTATATTTTTGTTAGTAGAGTAAAGGAGGAGTTCACGGTGCAGAGGAGGTCTTCCGCGAGAATGGGCGGCGATGTCTGCCCCCTCCGATAGCGCTACGAGCCCTTCACCATGTGCGTGCACCAACATATCGCTTATGCAATTGTTCCATGAGCTCAAACAAAAATTTCCTGGCGTTCCTGATCATGTTGTGTCTAATACCATTGAGCTATATTGCCACGACAAGAAAGCTTGTGAGACACACCTTCATAGCGAAGTCAAAGCCTCCCTAACACATGCATATCATGCATCATCATCAGCTGCAGCTCGCCAGCTTAATGAGCTTAGAGTTAATCCACCTATAAAGTGCCGTAATCAACCTATAGTTAAGCATGAAATTGTAAAATCTATAGAAGTTAAATCTTTAACTTGCCAAAGCCCTCAAAAAGCTGTAATTTCTACACATAATGTAATAGATGAAGAAAAGCCTAAAGTAAATACAGATGCTAATCAAAATCTAGTTGAAAGTGAAGCTGACGAAACAACTAACAATGTTGCACTATCTCCAATTGCTGTTATAAATATTGATAACTTGTGTGCAAAATACAATGCAGAATCACCTAGTGATTTGGAATTAACAAATGAAAATAAAACTGAAGATCAAAACACATCACAAGATATTATTACATCTCAAGACAATTCACTAGAAAGAAATAATTTAAAAGATTTAGAACAACCAGAGAGCACAAATTATAAAATTTTAAAAAGTAATAAAATAAAATCCAATTTGCATGAAAAACTAGATACTTTAAAGGATGTTAAAGAAAAGAAAACAATAAAAAAAGATCAACCACCACCAGCTCAAGAAAAGCCACAGAGACCAAATACCCTAAATTTCATTAAAGCAAATCCAGACATTGCATTTAAAGAGAATTTAAAACCTGCTCCAGAATCAGAGTCCTGTAGAACAGTGTCCCCTGCCCCGTCCACTCAAAAGCCTGAAAATAAAGATCAGAAACCTAGTGCATACAGACCTGATAGACCTTTCCCTCTTAACTGGTCTGTTAATGTTAATTGTCATATGGACCTTAGTCATGCTTACACTGATGGTGATTATGAAAATCCCAGAGCTATAACTTCGGTTAACTTGACAGTTTGTACTCCAACTTCAAACATGGCAAGTCCAGTTAGGGATGTAAGGGAGGAAGAAAACTCTGGATTTGAAGGGCATGTAACTGTGACTGTGAGTCCAAGTACAGCAAGACCTCCGAGACGCAGAGCTCCACCCCCGCCTCAAACTCGCATAGAGTCTCCCAGGCCCACCAGGGTTGCTCCAGATCCACCTACCTACACATATGGTGAGTAACTTAATTTAGCTTTAGCTTAATTTAGCTAAAACAATTTAGCTGTATTTTCCATTTATTTATAAACACATATTATATTCTTAAAATTATATGCATACAGTATTTTCATTATGTTTATTGGTGTCTATTGTTTTAAATAATTATTTTCTTTACATTGACTGAAGTGACGGTTTTAAGAAATCTTGTTCTTAAAAATTTATTTTTATGATTATGCATAATCACTACATATTATAAAACATAGTCACCTCACAGTATCTGTTTGTCTGTATGTGATAAACTCAAAAACAACCTGATGTTTTTACCTATGGTTTTCAACAATGGATGTAGTGATTCATGAGCAAGGTTTTGTTGTATAATTCTTTAATTTTGTATGTAAATTGGCTGAAATATGACAATAATTATTAAAGATGTCGGAAAAGTAATGCCGACTGGGTGGTTTACTGGTGTGCACTGTGTAAACCAATAGGTATATGAAAACAATGTATTAATGAATTATTCCTCTTGAAAAGATCTATTAAACTGTAGCAATGCTATATGCACACTACTACACTATATACCCACCATGCCTGCTATATATGTGTATCTCGCACCCAAACAAAGTCGCTAGTATAAGATAAATAAAATTCGGGTCAATTGTGTAATGACTTCAGAAACCATACGAAGCCTCATAAACAATAAGATACAAGAGTTATTTATGTAATGTTAAATGGAACTTTATACAAGTTAATTTTATGGCATAAATAAAACATGTTATTACTGTTACATTATGAACCCGTTTATATTAATTATTGAAAACTTATATTCATTTGTTTATTAATTAATAGCAACTTATTCTTGCTTTACTTGGATCCATGCTGTAACATAAAATATTACTTGGTATCATATTCTCCCTATGTACTTTTCATCCAAATCCATCCAGCTGTTTTTTTAGTGTGAGCGAGTAACAAACATACACACACATACAAATTTTCACATTTATTGTAGTATAAATAATAATATAGAAAAATACACTATATTTATAAACAAGCCTTGTAACTTGACATAATCACTAACTTATAATGACTATTTAATATATGGTCTATGGTCATACGTAATATTGCTCAGGGAAATTTTATTAGTTCTCAATGAGACAGGAAAATGAATAGCTTAACATTGTATAAATTAACTGCTAAATATATATATTTTTTTGATTATGTTACCTATTCTAGTGCATTATTCATATACTAGATTTTGCCTGTAACTTTTACTTGTCGGTAGTAGATTCCACAGGACTTATAACTGATATTTCATTTAAATTTTAAAGTAAAATTGACGATTTAAAAGTGCTTGTAAAAGTCTGTTGTATGTATGGATGTAACTCTTTCACGCCAGAACGGCTGAATGGATTTGGATGAAATTTAGCACAGAGAGAGATTATAGTCTGGAATAGCACATTATCATCCAAATATTAACATTATCCTAGAAAAATATACTATTCCTGTGCAATAGATTTGTTTTTATTTTTCACTAGGGACAAACCCGAAGCGAAGCGAGGGTGAGTTGCTAATATTATTTAAATACTTGGATAAATAATTTGGAATGTATTTGTTACTACTTATTTTTATGATCTTAGAATTAGAGTGTAATAGGCATAATAATATTTTTATATGCTTAGATGCTACCATGTGGCCAAACGAGTAGAAAAAACTAAATGCTCTGTAATATTTTCAATTTTAATAGCTTTTTCAATATTATCCATAAAAAAGGAGACATTAAAAGATGAAATTACATGTTTTTATTTTATAGTAATGTTACTAAAAATAATCTGATATCTAATATAGTGTGACTCATTGCTTATTGTAGGTATGAATATGATTAGAATAATTTAAATAACCACATACAAAGTTTGTTGAACTCAAATAATAAATCACTGGCCTTCTAACATAATGTAACACACAAACACAATTTAGAACATTTACAAATTTCTACTGGGGGCTCCCAGGGGCTTTAGCCACGGTTTCCTTTTTTTAATGTTGGGAAATGCATTTACGCATACCACCTGTAGATATACAGATGGTTATGTGGGACTCACCGGCTAGAAAAGCCAGTACTACCCACTAAAACCCAATAAAACTTTCCCCCGTCTTAATGGGGCGTCGCAGGATCTCTTACGCACTCAATTACGACGCCCCGACGGTAGGTCTGCAGAAGCAGACCACAACAACCATGGGGTTGCTCCACGGTCCACTCTGCTATCAGAGAAGTACCAGGAGCAACCCGCATGATACACCGCCCACCGAAGTGGGCCACCTTCTTAGCTTCGCGCCTGGCTGGATCGTCGGGCATTACTGAACCCCCCACCACGACAAGGTGAACTCACGTTGGAGGGGTTTGCCATGGTTAACTGCCCCTAAATCCGATTTGCCTAATGTTTAATAAGGGCATATGGACATCGCGTTTCAGGTAACGCGTCGACTTCGCACACGCGTATTTGGCACTGATAAAAGTGCGTTCATATACATATACAAACGCATGTCGACAACGCGTTTATAATTCGTCGTATGTAAGAATAAGTAAGAACTAATACGAGAGTGAAACATCACTGACTTCCCAACTCCGGTTTCATACTGAGAACGTCTTAAAAGAAAAACTCATTAATTAAACTTGGCCCGAATCGGGTCCCGAACCCAAGACCTTTAGATCTACAACATATACCTTTTTTAATGACATTCCAGATCGTGCCCTAATAGAGCGTCAAAAGGAGCGTTTGTCCCGTTTGGCAACAGCTCTCGCCCAAGAGAAGGGACGGTTAGCGCAACTGAACAGAGAGACGCAGATACTCTCCGCGCCGCCACCGACGCCCAGTGTTGCGCAGAATCTGAAGGAATACGTGGAGAGATTGAGGGATGAGTGTGACACGATGGCTAAGCGACTCGAGATGGGAGGTAATGGTAAGTAATCCATACTAATATTATAAATGCAAAATTTTCTCTCTGTTTGTTACCTTGTCACATCTAATCCGCTGAACCGATTTAAATGAAATTTGATAGTTTGAGATCCTGAGAAGAATACAGGATAGTTTTTATCCCGCAAATCATACCGTAAGGGAGTGAAGAGGGGGGTGAAAGTTCGTATTTTTAATCAATCATTTCTCAATGTATATATTTTTATCATATGTATATATTATCATTATAAAATATATACAATATATTATCATCATGTATATATTTTCCAGTGGGATATATGTATATATTTTTTGAAGTACTTACCTACTTTTCTATACCTATGTATATATATGCTTATAGTCTATCTATTCCATACTAACCGTTAAACCGTACATAGCCTAACCTAGGTAGTTCATACTTATAATATAATTCTAACTAAGTCAAATCTGTACATTAAATATTTTTTGGAAAATCTTATTGAAATAGACATTATAATTATCGATACAGAGGTCGAATCTATAGTTTTTAGAATTTTTGTCTGTCTGTCTGTTACCGCATCACAGAAAAACTATTGGAAGGATTTTGATGAAATTTGGTATGGTCATAGCTGATTATCCGGGTCAACATATAGGATACTTTTTACCGCAGAAAAATATCTCATTTCTGAGAAAAAATACAAAAATGGTTAGAATAAAAAACAATGATACTATATAGAGTTTAGCAAGTTAACATACTAAATATGTCAAAAACTATTAAAAATAGCTAATCTTGAAAAAGTATATCAATAGCACTATTTTATTCATTAAAAAATATATTTTAATGAATATTTATTTTTGTATTATTTAGATATTTGTCAATAGATGTCGCCATGTGTCTTTAAAATACGTAGTTTTAATTCCAAAAAATTGAATGTACAAATTCGATTTTTCTATGATTTTATTAGAATTACTACTAAATTACCCGCGGCCTCGCCCGTGTTTAAATGATCAAAAAACAATCTTTTTGGCTTTATAAATTAGTTACATCTATAGATACATTAAAATTTAATGAAGCAGTATCTGTGCTTTAAATATTTTTTCAAATTTTTTATTGTAATACACATTATTATCGCTAACAGAGGCCGAACCTATAGTTTTAAGAATTTTTGTCTGTCTGTCTGTGACCGCATCACAGAAAAATCACTGGAGGGACTCATGTATATTCAAGTGTATAATTTTTATTTTTATATTCTTACAAGTATGTAAATCTTGAAAGTCGATTTTGGTCTACTTAAAAATATCATATCGTCTAGAAACTTCCTAAATACTCGTATATTTGCCATTCTAATGCAATAAGCTTGCTTGCTGTTACTAGTTAAAACCCTTGAGTTCGATTACATTTTATTTGTTTTGATAAGTCCCGTACATCACTGATATTCAAAAGCGTGTTTTCTGGGGTTTTTTTTTATATATATTTTATCTATATTTTTTATACAGATAAAATATATTTTATTTCACCATATTTTTTTAAATTGAATACATCTCAATTATCATTTCATTTTCTTAATAGAAACAATTATGATGTTCTTAACAAAATTACAACTGAGTAGTAGTGATATATAATTTCCTAGTGTTTCTTCTCTCGCTGTCCTTCGCTCGTTGATCTAATATATTTCTTTTGTCTAATGGGATTGACATAGACTAATTTTACCACCAATTTTTTTTTTCTTTTGAATACCATTTTTCTGTAATTATGTTTGATTCAATGATAATAAAATATCTCCATAAACTGGCAGAATGAACTGAAGATAAAGTGACAGAGACTGAAGTCTACTACGATCTCGAAGAAAGTTCTGTATATTTCGGATGGCAAACCGTTAAATTTCATTGCTTATTGAAATGTCTGTATTGTTACATTTTAAAATAACATATTTCAATAAAACCTTGCTCTCTTAAAAATTCCTTGTATCAAGGTTGTAGCTTACAAAAAGAATGGACTATAGCTCTCCTTAAGAGTACAGTAGCTCGTACTTCTAGATAACTCACTTTTTTCATTCACGAAAGCTTGCTATAGTATAGTTCATTGTGATGATTATTTCTTTCGACATTTTTCTGAAGACTGAGGATTTTTTTCCAATGCTAGTTATTTTGACAACAATTGTATATTTTAATACCTGTGCACATTAAATAACAGTTTGATCGATGATTATTTGATGATGACATTGGTACCTCTCAATCTATATGGCCAACTTCTGCAATTTTTTTTCCTTGCAAGTGTTCAATTATATGTTATGCAATTAAAGCTTTAAATATGTATGTACATTCAATAATAAATGCATCACTTAATATACATGTACGTACATAAAATGATTTTAGTTTTTTTTAATCATACGTATATTTTCTTACGCGTTTTTTTTTTAACTTAATTCAATTTTATGTTGCTAATGGCTTAACGGACTACCTTCCACAATTTATATAATTTATAAACAAAACATGTCCAATTAAGTCATACCATGTTTTCCTCCTCATTGTTTATATATTTTGTTAATGTTTCCTTAATCAATTTGTCACGTATTCTCAGTACTTCCCCATTTTTTTCTTTAGACAGATTTTATCGAGTAAGCTCTCAAGCTACAGAGATTTAGACAAAAATCATTATTTGTTCTAAAAAAACACTAAGCATAGATATGCACAGTACAAGCATTCATTTTGTACGGGAAACGAAACTACGACCTCTCTTATACTACCATACACTTTACATACCACCGGTCATAAACTTGCAAATGAAACGTCAAATCAAACCAGTACAAATAACCCATATAATTCTTTCACTAGCTCGTGTAATGCACGTTCCAGAGGCAGACGACTCTGGAAACTTCTACAGCAACATATACACGGGGCAGCGTCAGCCGACCTCCTGGCAGTGCCACATGTGCACCTTCCGAAACCACCCTCTGCTAGATAAGTGCGAGGAGTGCGACATGCCCCGAATATTCGTAGGTACGTCCCCTTCCACCACCCACGACTCGGGGTTCGGCTCGTTCCGCGACAGAAACAGGACAAAAAATGTGAAAGATATAACAAATGTGTGTGACCACAGAGCAGTGAACGTTTGAAATGCCTTCAGTGTGCCTATGAGGCTGTCTAACTGTTTAACATAGCATGTGGCATGATATTGTGTTGTCAGGTCTTCTTCTATATTTTACCTGTCTTGGTTATAAAATTATTCTACTAAATGGTAAATTGTCAAGAACCTGGGAACACTCTTTAGGATGTGTCAATTTGTGAACTTTGAAGTGAACTATTTTTTTTTGACATTTCCTTTTTCGTTGTTTGAAAATTATTGTATCCCAAATGTTCCTGTTTGATATCAGATTTTGACTCTGCATGTGTGTTCGTTTTTATTATAAAATTAACCACTTATATAAAGTTAGGGAGATTTTTATTTGTATATAAGGTAATTATGTTACTTAGTTAGGTTTTTAAGATAGTACCTACAGTAGATGGAAGGGTTCATATCTGAGTAGAAAAAATTACATATACCTAGATGATAAATATTGCCTTAAAGTTTTATCCAAACGAATTATTTAGATTTTAATTTGAATGATAAGTGACCTTTGTTAAATTGTAATAGACGATTTACCAGACACGGTTACCCCGATTAGAAAGACGTTACCGTTATTTCAATAAAATCAATACCAATGTCCAATACATAGATAAAAATTGAATTTTATGGTATACATTTGAAAAAGATATTACACACTGGCATTCTACTAAATATCAATTTTTAAAATTTCATAATAAATTTCAATATCATTAAAAAAACCTTTAAATATCATTAATATAATTGTTAATAAATATTGTTTGCTAATAAGTAAGTAAAATTTACACTAGGAAGGTATTTAGAAAGTTATAAACAGTAATAGTGTTTAGAGAAGTAAATGTGATGGACTTATATAAAGTTTTAAATGTATATTTTGTTATTTTAGTTCATAAAAACATTAGAATTTGTTATAGGGTATCTATATTTATTATTTTACGTAGGCTGGTTGAATTACATCACTAGTCTGGTCAAATCTTGATGCATCACAAGATCTCATAAAAAGACTATTAGAAGCACCTTGCCAAAAATGAATCATTTTGTTAAATTATTGATTTTGGTAGCCATTTTTAAAAAATCTTTGCTCAATTTGCCGTTTGCTCAGATTACAATAAAATTGATTGCCTTATTTTTAAAAGTGCCTTAAACTTGAAATTATAATATAAAAATATATAAAATATTAATATTTATTACATTTTATTGTGTTTTTGCACACTGGTTTATAAGATAATATTAAAAGTTTTTTACTTGGCTAAAAGATAATTCTTTGCATAATATATATTTGAAAATTTTTAAATTAATAATGAGAGATTTTATAAAGTAAGTTTTAGATGAATAGAAATTTAATTCATGTTTATTCATGTCCTTATATCACAATCCTTGTCTGAGACAACTTAGCAAGTTCGCAAGACATTGAAGTCCGCCAGTCTGCATTTGGCCTGAGTAGTGGACTATGGCCTGACCCCCCTCGTATTGAAGGGAGGCCCGTGCCCAGCAGTGGAACGTTAAAACGAGCTGAATAAATATTATATCACAATATTATCACAGTATTAAACTTAAAATATATTTCAATGTGATAATTTTAAAAAGAAAACTTAATTGATTGGATAAATTAAATTATTGTATTTATAACTTATTGAAATCTGTTATTCAAGACCTATAAACCTAATGGCTTTGACAGATACTTAGTTTGATGTAAAATTATTTTATTGTAATTAATACCTTATTTCATAGTTACATACAAAAGAGATTTTTCTTAATGTAAAAAATATTATTTGTTGACTTTGTAGATTAAATTGTGATCAATTTTTATGTTTACTGAAAGCAAATAAAATGTTAGAAAAATATACTTGTTTGTCTTCTAAGTGGAACCGAAGTTATGATATTGTAATAAATATAGGACATGTTTTTGCTTTTATATTGGTAAGTATTTTATTGAACTAATTCATCCTGTTAACTCCTTGTGTGTGATGTCGTGTGGCTGCGTTGTTACCGTTGTTTGTTTGTTCCCAAATTAACACTCTGTACAGTGTAAAATTTGAGATTTCCTTTTATTTTTTACACAGTTCGAGCAGCAGATGGAATCACAGTTCATTTAATGCCAGGGCGCCGGAGTGAGTATATAAATATTATTAATTAGGGAAGACTTATAAATATATACTAATTGTTATTCACGACTTAGAATTATAAAACCCAAATAACGCAGGTTTAATTGGCTGTTTTTAAATAAAAAAAAAATCTAAATTTTTATTTTTCAGAAATAGTCCGGTCGTGGGTTTTATGAAATGAAGTTTTCTCACTGAATATTAATTTTAAGTGAACATCTCTATCTTAAGTGCAGTAGAAAAACAAAACTATCTGTGATATTCGCATTTGGTGGTCTAATATTTAGTTGAGGATTTTTGATTTGCACATTCCAAAATAAACGGTGGTAGGTTCTATTATTGCTAGTGTTCTAAGAACTATGTTGCGAGTATACGTTTATTGACCCGTACGGCGATGGATGAAGGGCCTTGAGGTGGATTCGTTTTCGTTGCCTTTTATATTCTCCTATTCTCACTGAGTGCTCTGCTGTACCAAATGCGAATAACTTATTGTTATTTTCATTTAACGCTGCTGCACTTAAGGTGGATAGGGAATTAATTTAGTATTTAAAATCATTGTATTTGCGTTAATAAAGCGATACCACTCGTTTGAACGAGGTTCATGATATATGAATTGTAATAAATATACCGAATTATAGATGGACAAACTAATGTAATGCTGAAAAATGTTACATTTATATTGAAATGATTCAATTGTCACTCATCATTTTGATTTGTTCTTCCATATTCCTGATTTAGTGATTGCATTAGTAATTTCTTAAAAATCGATTTTAGCTTTGATTTCGTAAGTCATAAAAGATTTTTCCCATCTAAAGTAAACGTTTCCTATAAAATGTATTGACGTGTGTGTGATAATTGGATTATATCCTTTCTACTCTTAACTATACACTATAGCATAGACAGAAAGATTAAGTATGTATAACATGTTGAGCATAAATGTTCTAAGTATTTGTAATATGGGACATAGCATGGTATGACAGTGTACAACTTATATGAAATATATACGCATTAATTTTAAAATTGTAAAGAAATTAAAGATTTCAGATTTTTAAAACTTAAGTAGGTACCTACACAAATTACATATTATAAACTCCATTTTTAGATATAAAATAATGCCTTTAGTCCCAAAAAGGATAAATTAGAAAATGCTACCTTACCTAAAACAAAATAGAAGAACCTAAAAAATATTTATTATCGTAACTGTCTCTGGAAAAACTGACACCGTCATATTTGAATGTTAAACTATAGTGAATTTATGAGGGTAGGTAGTAATTTACAAGTTATTAGTCTATAAATTAAAATGAGTTAGAATTCAACTGTCATTGTGAATTAAAAGAATTTTAGTAATTACGATTTAAAACTTTAATATTTTGATATAGTGCTCTCCTAGAAGCCATGAACATAAGAATTGAATTGAATTTTGATATAATTTTCACTATCTTGTTGAGAATTTCCATCTAAATATTTATACACATATTGCGTATTACTTTTATAGCAAATACAGAAACTTTGATGTTTAGTAATCAATTATCAAGTCCGAACTAAGCGAAGTCGAGTCGCGTAAGTTAATAAGACGAATTGGCTGCGAATTCGAAATACAGGTAACTGAATGATTTCTCTTTAATTATATTTTTTTATCGAAATAACACGTTTTTATCGGAATAGGTAAAAAATATCCTATAGCACTCGGCGGTATTACCTATAACATATCAACCTATAGAATTGCCTATTAGTAAAAGAATTTTCAGAATTGGATCAGTAGGTAGTCAAGAATTATTTAGATATTACCCGGGTAATCAATCGTAGCTTATGGCTCCTACGTTCGTATAAACTTACAAACTTTACCTTTTTAATATCGATAAATGATAGATATTTGCTCAGAAAACTCACTCCTATCGATGCACTAAATTTTTATTAGCATGTGTGAAGTATAAGTGATTGCAAATGGAATATTATCATCTAGCGTTATTAGAACTAATAACTCTTGAAGATGATAATTAGATTTTACAGGATGATGGAGAGCCCTTCGGATTATCCGAAGTAAGACTGTCACTTACATATGCTTATTATGGGGTTTAAAAGGTTTTTTAATAAATTTATCGCAGATTTCTGATAAAATATGGTCAAAGCTAAGCTGGAAATTTTAAAATTAAGGGTTATATTTAAAAAATATATATACTTTTACCTATTATTACGCAGTTTAAGTTGGCTAGCTACCTCTGATGCTAATTGAAACTACGCAGTATATGAAATATGTAGAACTTTAATATGTTTCAACTTTCAAATAATAATAATAATCGTCAAATTACAGCTCACACGGGACACACTATCAGGATAAAATGTAAGTGTATTCCAGAGAATGCTCTATACTCTTTTTTTAAGTAAATACTTACGTAATATAGTATTCCAATTTTTTATTATTAATCTCTTAGAACCTTTTTATCACGGTAATGTAATGCATAAAGTATTCCAACTCGGACCTGTCCTTGAAATAGTTACTTACAGCCGAGCGGCACGTACCTACGCGACAGGGCTGCCCGCCGACCATTTCATCCACCTACTTGAGTTTCTTTCTTATTTTGTGATTTCGAATATTATATTTTTTATTTAAAAACGGTTGTTAGTAGATTTAATTAAAAAATCTTAAATTTATAAGAGTGGTATGTGACCCTTATAAATTTGGGATTTAAAAATATTTGCGCCTCGACTGAGACGTACGAAAAACTTTATTGTTAAATTTAACCGTTTAAAGAATCCGCATTGGGGTTGTCCATTAATCACGTGAGGCTTGAAAGGGGGGAGGGGTTTGATAAAAATCACAAAAATAACACAAGGGGGGGGTGTAGTAAGATATCTCGTGTATTTATTTTTTCGCCAAACACCTGCAAGACGCTTATCCAGTTGTTAGTGTTGAAGAATGTCTTGCTAATCCGTGGTCCGAGGACAATATACATTAAATATATTCATGTACTAGTACAATACATGTTTTTCCTATGATTACACTCTTCGTTTATTATTATTGTTATGGCAATAAAAAAAACTTGCAACCTGGTGTAGACATTTTTATTATGGTCCTTAATTTCAGAATAAAATAAGATTATAGTTTATACCTGTATTTAAATTAAGATAATATTCAGAAAATTTTAAGATTCGTTGTAGGTACTAAAAATACACGTGATGTTGAGAAGGGGGAGGGGGGGTGGTCTTAAACCTCACTACGTATCACCAATGGGGGAGGGGGGGTTAAAAAATGCTAAAAAAAGATCACGTGATTAATGGACACCCCCATTCGGATAAAAAGTTAACTTACGATGTCTCGATACTTTTTTGTTTGACATTAGCGAAGTTACGGGAGGAATAAAATGTTAATATTTGTATCAAATTATAAAAGTTACACACATAAGTTAATATAATCACCTTATACAATTTTCTTATCCAATTATACGATGTGGCAGCCCCGCGCGCTTGTCTACCGAGTGTATACCGAACACGGCGCGCGTAGGTATAACTCGAATTCCGACCGTTTGTATGAAGATGGAATACTGTATGTAATGTTACCGTGTTTTTATCGTCAATTGTGTCACAGGAAGGCATAACGAATTGCAAAGTTATATTGATAAAAAAATGCAAAGTATATTATGTTTGCACCTAATTTCCTATACAGTCAAGAAAATCTTATGTAAAAGCAATAATTATTTTCAGAATTATATAACGATCAAATAGAAAAACGTAAAAACAAATTTATTTCAAAAAATTTAACGCGACGACGTGGTAATAACTAATTAATTACCTATAACTGCCTTTGTTGTCTAGATAGCATATACGGCTGCAAATCCAAAGGTCCTGGGTTCGAGGCCCCGGGGCCGAATTTAGGGTTCATTAATGGGTTTTTCACAGTAATATGCCGAAATTGTAAAGTTAGCAGTGCTACACCTCCGAAAGCAGTCAGTCCTGCGCCTGATGTTTCAAAAGAATAGACTGCACTTGTGTGAGCGCACACACTTGTGCACTATATCTCCCGCGCAGATGGCAAGACCAGATAGCCGCCGTGGCCAAAATCAATCTGAATAATTTCCTTATTCGTAGGTATATATATACTTTGATTGAGATATATGTAGAAAAAATGTCTTTTAGCTGATATAATTGTAGAGAGATTTTCTATATTACCATGTGAAAAAAAAAACTGTCAAACTAGTGCTTCGATTCAATCGGGACTTTTAAAATGTAGCATAAGATTTTGTTACGTGGCCACGGCTGCAGAAGCCGACAACGAAAATGATCACTGTGCATGATATTATATCAGACCAATGACAAAAATTATTCAAAATAGATGATACGTTATTCAATCGCAAAGCATAAACACATCTAGGTATCTCATCTTGAGTAAAGAGCAAAAACATCGGAAAATTTGGTGCCGTAGGTATTTACATATCTAGTTTTGGTAAATACCTGATCAAAAACGAATTATGCGGCAAATATTTGTAACATTTCAATATATAAGTAAAAAAAATCATTAAAATGCATTAAAAAAAATTTCGTATCCAAAGCGGCGTAATTTGGAATGGATGATAAAAGCAAATTTCCAACAGAGCTATTACAAAAATGCATTTTTTGAAAAGGCTTTTGACTGAAAAATATCTTTTTCCAAGATAAAAGTTTGGATTCTCCCATAAGTTTGCGTTATAGCACTCACCTCGGAACCGGTTTAAGAAATAATAATTTCGGTAATGTAATGATAAGCCGAAAAGTTTTTCAATTTTGAACAGGTTTCTAAACCATTTACTTATTTGTACTATATACCTATTTCCTAAGCTAGAAATTAGAATAAAAAAAATAATTAGAAAGAGCCCGTTTTCTGGCTGACGAAAATTATCACTAGCATCAAGGATGACTCATGACATGAAAGCTTTTAGAACATTGATGCACTTAGTGCACAGATCTTGTAGGACTCTATAACAATTTAAATAAAAATTATTTTATTTTCTTGCGAAATCATTTTCACAGCTAAATACTTATCAACCCACCTTGTTTTCTGACACATTTTGTTGTAAGCGTTTAATAGATAAAAATCTCTTTTGTTGAACCATTAGTTTTTATTTCCATTAAATATTGTTAAAACAAAATATTTGTTAAAGCTAAATCAAATAATATGTAAACATTTTGAAATAAACCTATACCTAATACATATATCTTATAAACTGGATTTTACAGCCTCTGAAATCAATCAAGAATCCTCGGATTGGCAAAAATACTCAAGGATTTACATTTTTATAAATAAGCACATTGTATTTGTATAATTGCATAGTTAATATGCAGCTTTATATTTGAAAAATGGTTTGAGGCTCACTAGAAACGCAATTTTTAATATCCATTTTAAATACAATAAAATGATAATTTTAATGTATAATTAAGCAAGTTTTTTATTTTATTTTGCTCAAATATTTAATGTACCTTTGTAAAAAAAATAAGTTTAATCGTTTAATCAAATCATGGAATAGTGAGACTCAGCCTAAAAAGCATTTCTTATAAAAAAAATGCTCATTTAATGTATATATGAGTAAGTACTTTTATGTAATTAAACTATTTATACTTATAAGTATTAAAATAATTACTGTGCAAGTTTATTATTTAAATTTTTATATGTATGCATAATATTTCTTTACTATAGTAAATAAAAAAAATTGATGCAATGAATTTTTTTTAACATTTACATATATATTATAATATGTCCCCATTATTTGTTAAAAACTTATTTCTTTTACTTAATTGTTATGCATTCATTAGAAAGATTAGTATTTTATTTGAGACCTTATTGACAAATTTGCAGACACTCATAAACAATATTAAGCCAGTAATAACTTTTTTGTAATGTTTGATAGATAGGTATTTATTATTTATAAATATTTCTAGTCAAATTATGATGTTTTTATCAAAATAAAAGATAATGGATTAATAAAAAAATCTAGATTTATAAATATTTTCTTGTACTTGGGACATTAAACTTGCACAGAAATGAATTGGATAAAAATCTAGTGCTTTTATTATTAATTTATATTTAGAAGTGTATCTATAAACTTTATATAATGTACTTACTTTATCATCTATATCAAAATAAACTTGTTATTGAAATTTGTTTAATTTGATTTTTTACTATGCTAGTATGCTTATCCTTAGAATCCATCTTAACAGGTAATAATCCTAATAACTTACATACACAAGTATTTTATTTAAAGCTATGTAGTTAAATGTATGATAAAAAAATCATTCATCAAGTATTAATTTATCAGCTTTAATTAGTAATGAATACATTTTACATTATAACTCAACACTAAATAAACTATGCCAGTGAAAAAAGGCATAATACATAGTATTCTTGTAAAAATTCTACTTTAGTACTTACATATTTTAAAGAAAAAAAAACTATTTACATATATATAAAAGGAAATTACTAAAATTTACACAATGTTATGTACTAATATTTAATTTATGTAATCCTAAATAGCAGTACCTCTTTCTAAATTTTGTTTTATTTCAGCTGTGTGCTCTCCATAGAATCTTTCTAATTTCTTATTAAATTTGGCATTTCTTTCATTAATATAGTCAATGTCGGCATCATCATTATGAGTCCTCCTCCTTGAGTATTTAGCACGTTTAGCTATCTGACCCTCTAAATCATTGACCATTTTATCAATAGCATCTTTTTTATCTTCATGCATTCCATGTATAATCACATTGGGCCCACCATAAAATGCATCGCCATATTTTTGTTTCTGCTTTTCATATTGCTCTACATCCATGATAGGCATACTTTTAATTAGCCTATTATGCTGTCTTACTGTAGCTTGTTCATAGGTCGAAAATCCTTGGTCAGGATTCTTTTTCTTCTTTTTACGTTCTAATCGTTCAGCTTCAACTGCTGATATATTTAGAAGTTTTACACGATCATAATCTTTACCTTGTGTTGTAGCTTCTTCTCTGTTTTTTTGGTCCTCCAATAACCACTCGGCTTGACGTTTCTTAGCCTCATAATTAGGTGGAAGTTTATTTCTAGCTTCTTCAGCAACCACTTCTTGATGGTTGTGAGTCCTTGCTTCGTTTCTTGCAGTATGTAATGAACGTAGCCTTTTCATACGTTCTGCTTGTCTTTCTGCAAATGTCATCTTTTTGATTTCCGATGTTGAAGCTTCTTCTGTACTCATTTCGAAATCGAAGGTTTAAAAATTATAAAAGAAGAGTTATAAATGAAAATATTTATACTACGAATTAAAACAATTTCAATATGTCGCAGCTGTCACTCTTGTAGTTCTTGATCTATGGACTATGGCTGTCGCTGAGTGTCGCTGTCAGTGACAGCCATAGTCCATAGACCAAGAACATACATGATGTCAGGAACAACGAGTTTGAGCCTTGAGCCAGGGCCAATTTTATTTATCATCTATGGTGGCCACCACAGACAGTTGAAACTTGAAAGAAATACTACAAATTAAACTAAATTTTTAATAAGCTAACTTTGAATGCAAGAAATCAAGTCTAGTATAATTATTAGAGAAAATGTGAAAAAATTCTATTATATATTTTTATATAAATTAACTAATATTAAAATGCCATAATGATAAAAGTTTTGTTCTTTTTTTATCCTGAAGATGGTTTCGCAAGTATTGCCAAGTGCCAACTAGCAAGTAGCAAGTAAACTGACTATAGTCATAGTGAAGTGAGTCAGTCTTTCGGTGTGGTGAATTAGTGTCGGTTGTGTAAAAGTGCTCATTCTTATTATTTTCATAAATCCGAGTGTTTTTTTTGAGTTCACGATGTCGGATGAAATTGCAGAGAACGGAACAACAAATGGAGATGTCCCGGAGATCGAACTGATTATAAAGGTAGAGCTTATTTTACACGTGTTTATTCTTTATACCCAAAATTAGCTGGTTACTTGCAGCGGTCAAATCAACAACACGGCAAGCCGTATCTGTTCAACGCACTTTAGTAAAGATGTGATCATGTGAACTGGAGTTGGCAAATACCTAAGTTAATTCTCAAACATTTTGGCTATTCTTGTACTTGTACGTACTTTTCTATTTGTTTCCATAGTATTCTTTAGAAATATGTATAATATTGGCGATTGTGTGACGTTCTTATAGTACTTGTTATGTGCATTTCTGATTCGCATGAAATTGTCGTGCTCGCCTCGTATGCATGAAAGTATATTATTACTGCAATTATAATGCGCGCTATTTAGGTCACTAACGATTGTTTTTGTTGATGTTGAGACTATGGGGTTGATATAATGAAGTAGGTACATTTCTATTAAAAAGATGAGGTCATACTTTGTTGAGAATTTATATGTTGGCATCTTAATTTATAATAGTGCCCATGAATCATACAATTAATGTTTGTGGTAAAGTAATAATTTATTGCTTTAACAGTCTTACATGTATACTATACTAAGATCTTTTGTACTAAATATTTTTACTTTTTATATTTTAACGATTTTATTATATAGGTATCTAAGCTATGTTACAAGTAAAATCATAAAATGCAATATTGAAATATACATATTAATATATCATATATTTTATATAATACATCATTTCAAACACATTAACAATGTTCGATAAATGCATATCTAATGTATCGCATTCTGTTGCATTTGGCACATCTTATACCATACATTTTATAAAAAAACTAAATAATTAAATAAATCACATCAAATAGCCATAAAACTATAAATTCATTGAATTATAAAACTTCTTCTATTAATTATGATCTACACACAATGGGTACTTACATATTTTGTAGTAATAACAAGGAATTCGAAAATAAACAATTATGATATAATAATAAAATATTTTGCTTCGCTCTGGTGCATTACTAGCATTTTTAACTTTTTGTGAGGCACCCTAATTTTTTTTCTAAAATTAAAGAAGCCTAAGTTACCCCGTATAATATCATATATTTCTGTCCCATCAAAATCAATCCAGATTTTTGAGAGATTAGCCGGAACAAACAGACAGGCAAAAAAAAACGAGTTTTTCTTATAAGTACCTACTGTATATAATTTCATAAGCATTCAGTAAAAAGCTTTTATTTCTACATTACAAACAGACACTTCAATTTAATTAATCTGTATTCTGTATAGATAATTGTAATTCTGAAATGCATCTTTTTTAGATACATTAATCTCCAGATAGAGGTTAGAAATTTTCAAGAACACTACATTCAAAATAGATTTCATTCATAATTACAGATAGTAGGACTTGCTTGGATTATTGCCAAAGCGTGAAATTGTAAAATAGCATGTTTTCATTTACTTTAAAATAGCTTCTATTTATATGTGATATCATCATTCATTTCTTATGTGAATAATATATATTATATGTAGATACACTTCATATATGTATGTATATTGACATGAATAAAAAAGAGTAAGGAGACTATAGGATACTACTATATATTACTAGCGACTCACCCTTGCTTTGTTCAAGTTCGTCCCTAGCTTGCTTCCCAATACAAACTGTCATAGATAAAAAGTATCCTGTCCTTCCCAGGGTCTCAAACTATCTTCTTACCAAATTTCATCTAAATTGGTTCAGTGGATCCAGAAATTACCCCCTACAATGTCACAAACTCACAAACTTTATCTCTATCTAAGTAGGTACATGCTTTAGGATATTAACATATATAAAAAGAATCGTGAGGTTTTTTATAAATAGATTTCATACAAGCTACTGCATGCAGCTTTGCCCACTTTCATATTTGATCCACAATGGATGGAATTCGTCACATGTGTCCATTTGACTTATATTACAACCCAAATATCCCTAAAATACAAATCAAGTTTTAATCTAATAATGATATACTTAATGTACGCATTGGTGTTACAATTTTCTTATAACCATTGATCAATATTCTATAATTAATTTAGTATATTTTTCCTTACTGTAGTTATTTAAAATGTAAACAAACACTAAAAGTGAAATTAATTTGTTTTCAATGATAAATTAGTAGGTGTGAAAGAGGCGCTGGCTGAATTATATAATTTTAATTGGCATTATACACAGTATGAGCGCATAGTGGCAATTTGATATATAGGTAGAGGTATTCTCACAGAACAAATGTTTATTTTGAACGCAACCGTCCACGGCGGCGGCCACTATTGCGTGCTAATCGCTAAGATCTAGAACCAATTAATTTTAGTAAAATGCGACCTATTAGTACAATGTATTCACTTGGCGCTCCAAAATTCTAAAGATTTTTTTGTAACGTTTCTGTTTATATAAAAATAGTGACTCACCCTCGCTACGCTTGGGTGCATCCCCGGATATGTTTTAACGGACTATATATTATATATATAAATAAATAAATAAATACATAGATATGATGATATGTTCTGGGTTGTATTATAACGTGTTTTTCCGTCGGAATGAGATAATCTCCCACGGTAAAAAGTAGCCTACGTCACTCTGTTTCGACGTGAAAGAAGGACAAACAAACAAACACACTTTTCATTTATAATGTATTTAGTTAGCCCTTCTTTAACGTCCCACGGCTAGGCACAGGCCTCCCTTCAATTCGAGAGTGATCAGGCCATAGTTCACCACGCTAGCCAAGTGCAGATTGACGGACTCCACATGTCTTTCGAAAACTTCCTAGGTTCTCTCAGATATGCAGTTTTCCTCACGATGTTTTCCTTCGACGTAAGGCAAGTGGTAATCATGTTAAAAATGATTCGCACATGAAAATATCAGAGTTGGTATCCGGTTTCCCAAGCGAGCGCGTCACCTCTGGGCTATCAATTCACATTTACAATATTAGTATGTATTTTAGAATTTTCTAATTTTTAAAATAATACTTGAAAATGAAAGCAATAAAGGCAGGTGTAGTAATAAGTTGTTTTGAATAATTAGCGACAGATGCACGATTAAAGATGTAACTTATTACGTATTGCTTTGGGTTGGCAACTTAATTGTACAGAAGGTGGCTGATACCTGTTATTACCTTAATAGGACTAGAAATTTCTTTAGGTAATGCATGCACCTGATGAGATGAGCATTCCATACGAGAGAGCGTATGCGCACCTTTGAAACAGAAAACCTCGGCCACTGAAGCCAGGGGAAAGTGACAAACACGCGACAGATCGTGCATCAGAGTGACATCAACAATTAGCATGTTAAGCCATAATCTTATGCATACTGTGTAATTATCATTATTATAATTCACAGAACTATGTAAATTAACTTTAGAAATAGACGAAGCCAAGCGGTTTATTCCGCGCTCATATGAAAAACTTTAAACCCAAAGTTTATATCTGTTTGAAATATCAATCAAAAATTGTACCACTCTAACGGTTACGTCATTGAAAAATAATAAGTCATTATTTATCTATAACTCTATTTAATTCGGAGTTTTTATCTGATAAACTAGAATACTATCTCAGATAATATTTTCCAAGGTACAATCTAATCCGTGATATGTGTCGGTAATGGGTGCGTATTGGCAAAAGTCACCTAAAAATAATCTATTCACAACATGATTTATTTTAGAATCAAGAATTAAAATCGGAATCTTTCTTATATCATTTTTTGCATGTTTGGACATCTGCTATATAAAATAGATATCTGTACATAAAATATTTTTTAAAAACAATGTAGGTACTGTTACTATTTTGTACAGAATATAGGTCCCAAAATAATAGTCGTTGAATGCTTTGTCTGTATGTCTGTTTGTCTATATCTGTTTGCATTTCACACCAAAAGTACTGAACTAAATTTTGTGTAGTGATAACTTATTACTCGGGTCAACATTTAAAAATAAGTAAAACGTTTTACTATATAAAAATATTTTATTCCCACGGGAAAAACAATAGCTGGTTCTGTAGAGTCGTCCTTAAACATTTACATGGCTAACGCTGGGTTAACTTTAAGAATTTAATACTTTGCATGTTTGTACATTAAAACAATATACTACAAAATTGTAGATTTTAAAAAGGCCTGCAGAAAAATCAGCAAGCAAGCAGGATATGTCGGTAGTTCCAAATAAAGTGCTGTCGGCATAAATATATTCCTCATCAACGTGGTCTTTTTTGCAAAGTTATAACTTAACTGATATAGCAGTTCGCATGGAGCTGTTGACATGAAATATAAACAAATATACCAGTACAATTTTATCTTGTGGAAACTTTTTATCTAATAACTCGGTAAACTCCATAGAGTTAAAAATATCTCGAAATCTATTCTATGAAGCTTTTTTGTCTCAAATAATGTTAATGTCCTGCAGTTAGCGACAAGCAAACTGTTTTCGTTATTGAGCTCATTGTAATCAGGTATTCCACCGTGAAGTCTTGAGTCTTGACCTTGGCTGAGCAAAAACGGTGAAGTGCAAAAATATTAATGTATTTTTTTTAAAGAAGATGTTAATCACTTTTTGTATTAATTACTTAATACATAATATTATTAAACAAACTTCATGTTCCAACGTAAAATAGTATGTATATGTTTCTATAATATACTAGCATTGCTCGCGGCTCCGCCCGCGTTCAGATGCCCAAAAACCAAATTCTTAGGTTTTACATATTAGTATACTCTTTACATTACAGTTTTTGTGTTTTTTTCTCAGAAATGAGATATTTTCCCGCGGTAAAAAGTATCTTATATGTTGAGCCGGATAACCAGCTATCACCGTACAAAATTTCATAAAAAAAGCTCCAGTAGTTTTTCTATGATGATGATGAACAGACAGATAGACAAAAATTCTAAAAACTATATTCGGCATCTGTATCGATCGATAATAATGTTTATTGCAATAAGATTTTCCAAAAAATATCTAGTGTACAGATTCGGCTTACTTACAATTTTATTATATGTATTTATATGTATAGACT